CCCTTAAGTTGCTTCTTCAAGGGCATTTGGTCACAGTGAGGAGAAAAGTGACTAACTAATTCTCACAAGGCTCTTTGAGCTGAGCTGTTAATAGTCCCATTTCATAGGTGAGGAACTTGAGGTCCAGAAATTCCATAATCCAGAACTATCCAGTTGTAAGTGACAGTGGCTCACTCTTGAAAAATGTCTAAGCACCCTTCTTTGCTGCCTGATGTGTGAAGAATGTACCAAATGCTCTGCTTGCCAGTCCTGGCACTAAAAGTTCCACCTACATTGCTTCATGCCATGCAGTCTTGACTTGCTTGGGAGTTATCACCATCATCAATGAAGAGACTTAGTTGCTTTCTCGAGGTTCCGTAGCTAGTGAGTATTGAAGCAGGAATTGCTAATGTAGACTAATTTAACTTCATAATTTAAACCTTTAACTATTCTTAGTGTTTTAAAACCTCAATTTTTAAAATTTCAAGTTAAATCTTAAGTGAAATACTGTGTGTAAAACAGACAAAAGTAGACTCTAACTCCCTTTGTGTTGGGGATGATGGAATGAGACCTGTTCCTCCCATTCTGCTAACCTATCAGTCCCCAGACACCTTGGTGGAGTCCTTGATATCTGGGGAACATAATTTGAAATACACTTCTATGGAAAATCATAGTCTTCTAGATGTCAGATGTAGGCCAGTGACATTTTGACAGATATTGATGATGTAGGCAAAGTCCCTTGGCAATAGGAATGTATGTTGTGACTATAATTCTTGTGGAGCTTCTTTGAATCTCAGACTCGTGGAGATCAATTTGAAAACCCACAGCCAAAAATAGCTGAAAATGACACTGAGAAGGGAAGTCCAGCCTTGACTCAGACTTGTAGAAAACACATGGAAGCATGCTGAATAAACACTAGCAACTGTCCCTGCCCATCCCACCCCTGCTCCAGCCTGTTTCCTCTCGTCTCTTGTTCTTTCTTTAAAGCAAATAAAAACTCCTTACACTCCTAGACTGAAAGATTTCTTCCTTCTTATTCCCTAACATCTTTTTCCTAGACTTTACTTTAGTCTGCTCTTTGCAACCCCTTTCTAATTATGTTTCATAAAATCGGTCAGACCTGGCTAAGAAATATGTTCTGTTGCAGGGGAAGCTGCTCAAATGAAGCAGGGTCCTCACTGAGAGCAGAGTTAGAGACAGAGGCCAAGAATACACGGATATACTTATACATATGCATACACACACAAGCACACACATGTGTATGCAAGTATGTATCATTACTGTCAGCCCTGTCATACATGTAAGAGAGGAAGGGACCTGAGTTATTCAGCTTAAAACTCCTACTAGGATGGACTGATGGACTGAAAATGTGTTTCCAAAACAGACCTGTTGGAGTTGGTTACAAGTGGGGAATTAGAGAAAGGAGAAGAGAGTCGGGCGTTGGTGTCACAGGCCTTTAATCCCAGGCAGAGGCAGGCAGATCTCTGTGAATTCGAGGCCAGCCTGGTCTCCAGAGTGAGTGCCAGGATAGGCTCTAAAGCTACACAGAGAAACCCTGTCTCGAAAAACCATAAAACGGAGAAGAAAGAGGCACATGTGATTTTGAGGTTTTAAACAGGCACTATTGGGAAATGGTTAAGTGTTGGGCACATATGGTAGGTGTAGCAGGTTGGGGGTTGGAACAGGTAGTGTACTGATTTGGGTTAGGCAGGTGTTGCATAGACCAAGAGTTGGCTTTAGAGTCTCCTCAATTTAAGGTGCTATTAAAACATCCATATGGAAGTGACCACAGGTGGTTTGATATGTATGAAAGAGGCTGAGTGGGCAGGAGAAGCTAAGACTAAAGAGACTTCTGATAAGCACTGAGAGCTGTGAATCTCAGTGCACTCCCAGTGTCTGTGCCAGAGATGGAGAGGTTATGCTCAGAATCATAGGGCAGAGGGCTGAGGATGATGGGGAGTTTGCAAAAGAAATACAAAAATAGGCTCTTAAGTTTCACAGTACATTTGAGCTGTTACTGAGAATGATGTGATTTGTAACCAACAAAAACTTATTTTTCACTGTTTCGGAGGCTGGGATACTCAAGGGACAGGACTGATTTTTCCATGGTATAGTGCTGAGTTCTTTCCATGCCCTTGCATGGCTGAAGAAGAAACAAGTTCCCTCGGTCTTGTTTTGTCAAAGGTTAATCATGAATTAGGATTCTGTTCTCATAACCTTGTCCTTTCTCCAAAACCCTATTGCCTAATTCCATGTCCTTGGGATTTAGGATTTTATTATGACTTCTGGGGTGGGCACAAACCTCAGACCACAACACTAAGGAAAGTATAATATTTAGGAAAATGGAGAAGAGACTGTAGCCCTGCTAATTTGTAAAAACCATTTCCAAAGGCTATTCAATGACAAAGGAAAGTACACATGATGCATTATTTATAAAATCATATTTCCATGTGTGCACACTTATATATAAAAATCTCTGGTGTGTGGGTGTATAGAGGTAGAAAATTACAACAAAGTATTATAATATTTGTTTCCATGTGATGGGATTTGGGGGTATCTTAACTAAATATAATGTTATTAATTATAAAGGAAAAGAAAACTTATGTTTTCATATCTGTAGCCTTAGGATTTTGTGGAGAACTGGAATAGTGAAACCTGAACTAATGACTACTACCATAGGGAGAACACCTCTTGCTCTTCAGTGTTCATGTTTGGAGAGTAAAGAGAGCCATTCATAGAACTCTAAAACATTAAACCTAGTGTAACCATGGGCAGGGCCTAGAAACATATTCTGAGAGAGTGATTGTTTGCAGGTGACTACAGGAATTGTGGATCAGAGGCTGGTGCCACAGCAGGCAGGACTTTCTGTCTAGAAACTCATAAATTGGGCTGGGGGTTGTCATAGCCAGAAGTACTATTTGAAAACCCTACATGCAATGTGTTGGGAACACTGGTCTCACCTGATAATAGGATAGACAGATGTTGAGAACAAATGGTCTCTCCACCATTCAAACACTGGATTGCGCCTCTCAAGTGTGCAGGTTTACATGTAGCATTGCTGAAACAACAAACTGATACCTGTCAACTATAACTAGTTAAAAGTTGTTTGGTTAGGATATTGTGAAGCTAGTTGCCATTTGTCACAAGCCAAATGGTGGCAGGAGAACTAACAACTTGTAAACCTAGTTGAGGTTGGTATTTCTGGGTCTACAGATTCAAACATTTCAGAATAAGAATCCCTGGGATAAATAGTCTATTTGAAGTAAAGAACATCTGTGACAGAAAATGGGGTCTAGGGGACACAGGTTATCCCATGTGAAGAGTCAGACACATTCTCTGTATTAGTCTTTGCAATGATATACTGTGACAGTTTTTAAAAATCTTTCTTTTTATTTTTAATTGAGTGTGTGTGTGTGTGTGTGTACACATGAGTACAAGTGCTAACAGAGACCAGAAGTTGTTGTATCTGCTAGGGCTGGAGTTAGGGGCAGTTGTGAGCTGCCTGAAGTGGGGTGCTGGAAACTGAACAGGAGTCCTCTGCAAGAGGAGTGAGTGTTCTTAACCACTGAGCCATCTTTCCTGCCTGTGATGTCTTTTTTAAATACTTCTATATAATAATAACTATATAAAAGAATAGACTGCTTTTGATATGTTGGATTTCAGAAGGGCTTCTGATCATATTTAATGATCTTTATGAGAAACCAAAGAGCTTAATTGCTTTTTCAATTTTATGCACTTAAAGAGTAATACTAGTCTACAGTTAAACATACATGATTCTGTGAGTTTTGTAGATTATCTTTTATATTCTTTAATTTTAAAAGTTTTTCATTTTAGTTTTAACAAGTTTGTTAAGTTTCCTCTTTCTATCAGGGCAAAATGGAGGGTGTTCTGAACCTTAAAAGCATATAATTTACCTTGGACATGAACTTTAATGCTTATTCTGAATGAAGTCCATGTAAAACTTCAGAAATTGTGTAGCAAGTCTTTATGAATTGGGACCTAACATGTCATTGACACATTGTGAAGGGTTTTCTGTTGACTTTAGTGATGGATGCGCCCATGCTGCCAAGTTCAGCTGGAAGGAAAGTCTTAGAAATCCACACATCAGCTTTGGAATCTAGAAATTTCCTGGACCATGACTTTTGAATCAGCAGAGTGGATGCAGCCTGCATCTGTATAGGGAATGACATTTTACCATCTTGCTTCATGGAAGTCTCTGGAACATGACCATAAACACCTATCCTCTTTGTTGTGTGTTGGCCTTAAAAGCCCCCAATGGTTTGGGGGAGGGTAAGGACTTGTCTCAGAGCTCCTTGGTCCAATTTTTTTTGGGGGGGGAGGCTGGCTGAAAATCCTAGATATTTGATAGTCTGGCTTATTTCTATGGTGTATTAGCACCCTATAAAAGTTACATGTCATTTATTTCAAGTTTAGAACCCTCTCAAGCTTCAGGGGCAAACCAAACTTGAACCTTTTGTGGGTGGAATTCTGTTTACCTTTGGCCAATCGTGCTTCCTGACTGTAAGTTAGGGAAGTGAGGTGAGAAAGGCTCTTGAGGCTCTTTGGACATCAAATACCTCTGACCAAACAAGGTTTTGATGGGTTAAAACCTGAATGAATCTGAAACACTTGATTAACTTTCTGTCAAAGCACTCTCGGGCCTACACACACAAGTATATAGTGCCAGACAAAGTGTATTTGAGTCTTACTTTCTTCTGGCTGGGAGGAAGTACCTGAAATGATTAACTGTATGTTGAAATTGGGTCAAGCAACCCCCTCCTAATAGATATGTTAAACAGTTTCTATAAAGATCATTGGCCAATCCAATTGAATAGACTTTGGGGAATTTGGGAGATTTTACGACTTTGAAAGCTTTGTTTTCCACCAGTGACACGGAACAAATGAGCTCCTTTTGTATGTGGTTGTAGATGACCTATTGTCCCTCTGTGTTTCTTGTCAGAACACATCCCTTGGGTATGACCAAGGGAGAAATCACATGTGCACCTCCATATGCCTTTCAGATAGAAGAGCTGATGAATGCCCTGGAGAAGACCAGACAGGAGCTGGATGCCACCAAAGCCCGCCTCGCCTCGACCCAGCAGTCTCTGGCTGAAAAAGAAGCACACTTGGCCAACCTCCGGCTAGAGAGGAGGAAACAGCTAGAGGAGATCTTGGAGATGAAGTGAGTACCCATCGTGCTCCTCTAGTCTTTGTCACTTCCCTTTGATGGTAGGAAAAGGGTAGGGAAGCTGGAAGTGTGGAGACAGAACCTAGACAAAATTAGTGTTTTTTGAAGTATTACTTATTTTTTAAATTATAGCTTTGGTGCCTCATTGTGAACATTTTTTTCCCAACATCCGTCATTTTAAAAAATGTATACCAGCATTGGAGTATGTATGTCTGTGTTTTGTGAATGGCACCCGAAATCAAAGATCTGTTTGTTGCAAAGGTCAACAGCCTCAGAGAGACTGAGACCTTGTTCAACACAATGGTAATCTGGGTGCTGCTTGAAATCAGTGGGAACTTTCCTGACAAATATGACTTTGCTAATTGTTATCCTCACTCCTGGTCAATGCCTGGCTAGTACTGGCTTTCAGTGTCAAAGAAACAGGACTCCGGTTTGATAGAATAATAAAACATAGGTTGGACTCTCCTCCAGCATACATACCATGGTTCAGATGGAAGGAACAGGGACGTTATGGGAGAGAGTATTGCTTTCGTTGCTTCTATTAATAAAGTGGGGGTTGGTGCTGGGAAGCAGTCTTTCCTGTGGCCTCATGATGTACCCACCTACACCTACCCAGTTCCTATTTTCCTTTCACAATGAAAGATCACAATGGAGGACAATAGGAAGGAGAATTATTAAGTGATTTGAATAATAATTGCAATGGATTTGTTCCCAAAGAACTAGTCTAGAAATAGCATTTCTATAAATAGCTAAATGAAACAATCAGTAAGATATCATTTAAATCCTACTTCCTCCCATAATAAGGGGAAGCATGCATAATGGTGGCTAGATATGGAAGAGTGACCTCATGGTGACCCAGCAAGTCTTACACATGGTTAACATTAAATGGAGAAAGCTTAGATCATGGAAAATATGGAATGAAATATTTTGAAGGGTTTAATAATGAGAATAAAACTTTTATGTCTCTTCAACTACCTCAGTTTCTCCAAGACCAAAGAACAAGTAAGTTTTTTTTCACATATAAACTCATATAAGCTAGCATTCTGTCTAATAAAAGATGATATAATAAAAACAGATATTATTATACACCATTTAGAAGCCAGGGAACCGAGACTCCGGGAGATTCAAATAATTTGCTTACAGCCACCTGGCCGGGATTAGAGCAAAGCCTTCCATTTCAAGCTCCCTTTCTACTCTCTCATTCTCCCGTGGAGCTCTGTGTGTGTTTACCAGGTCTGGAACTTCTGTCTGCCCAAGTCACTGTAGAAATCCTGTTGCTGTTAGCAGAGCTGGCAATGTGGTAGGTGCTTACTGACTGTTTGGCAAATGACTCGATGAGATGGTGAAACCACACAAGTGTGTTGAATTCCCTGGCTGCCAACATGTCCCACTTGTGTCTCCTCATGTGCTGTTGATTGTACAGGCAGCTTTGTTGTGCTCGTTGTTCTTCACAGCGCCCCCATGTTACTGCTACATCTCCAGTAATACAATATGCCGTCATAAGAGCCTTTTGATTAGGAGGTGAGTGTGCTTTCATAATCGTAAGGAAAGGACTAATAATGGACTGCACTAGTTTAGGAATCCATCTGATCTTGGGTACCATCCTAGTGCTTCCACCCGGTAACTGTGGCAGGGACCTGCCCTTAACCTCGATGACCCACACCTTCCCCCTCTAACAATGTGCAAGCATGTATGAGCAGAGGGCATGACACACAGAAAATGATATGTGTCTATAAAGGATCTGTCAGCCAGTGAACAAAAATGCCGTGTTTAAGGTGCTTTGTGAAGAGTACCATTTATCTGAAATTGGATTTATTTTTCTAAAACATATAAGCCATTTCCATGTATATATTTTCCCACTTAATTTCATGATTTCAGATAGCACCTAGCTAAGGCCTCTTTGGTGAATTGCCACATTATTTCTGAAGTGTTTAATCTGCTGCCACTGCAAAATAAATACAGAATTCTTCTGTTAATTCTGTTGCTCAAAGAAACAAAGTCCTACTTCATTAAGCCCAATATGAACCTAATTCATTATTTAGCTCACCCAGAAGACCAACTTATGGATATCTTACTTGGGACTAAAAAGACCTAAATATGGGATAAGCATACTGACTGAGTCTGCCATCTAGACTCATCAGCCTGTACAGCTGCTTTTTTGAGCTGAACTAATTGATACATTGCTACATGACATTGACTGAAGCCTATTTAAGTTGCCGAGAACAATCAGATGTATGTTATTATTGTTGATGCTTATTAATCATGTTACACTAAGACTTGGATTTTCATTCTTCTGGAACTCATTTTTAGCCAGGTCTACTAAACTTCTAAACCCGGGTAGGAAGAGAGTCACCAGGCAGTGCTAGAGGGAATAAAGAGGGGCCCTGAGTGAAGAAAAAGGCATCATTTCCTAGATCACTTTCTGGTTGCCTCTGTTTTCTCTTCATTAACGTGGAGGTAGAAATGCCTGCCCTGACTGCTTTATGGAAGTGTGCTAAGGTCAGGGTAAAAATAACATACTGGACTAAGATTAATATAAAATAGCATATGTGAAAGTACTTTGAAATCTAACATGGGCTTTTAAAACTGAGAGGTGTATCTGTTAAATTCATTGCAAAATCAAATGGTATGAAGTTTTAGAACTGGAAGGCAGCTGGATTCACTCTCCCAACTTGTATAAGTAGACTCTTATGCACATAATTGCCGATGAAGAATTCACCAGGCCCTGGGAAGCACCATTCTTGTTAGAGACCATGGTCTCATTAGGTAGCAGGTCTTGTTCCATGGACATGCAGGGGCTTATGTGTCCTCACATTGAATTGGAATGTCTTTCCATACATATTTCCCATTTGTCTTGTTTTTATTGTTGTTGTTATGCTTTTCTTACACAAAATTGACATAAGCATCAGCCATAAAAGAGATAGCCTTTTATGTATTTGCTAGATAATATTCTTCATTTTAGAGAGAGAGAGAAAGAAAAACAGGAAACACAGAAGCAACATGAAACATTTATCACTTATGGACTTAACATACAGAGAGTCACTGAGGCATTTTGGTGTATACCTCTGCCAATGTGCCTTAATTTTTTTTCAAGAAAATTACATTGTCCTTGTGTATCTTATAAATCCCATTTCTTTTGCTTTCTGGATGTGAATGTTTTCTGTATCACAAGCATAAAAGCATGTTATTTTGTATTACTTATTGTATTGACACATAGGTTTGTTGATTATTTTGGTCCCAATGTTTTGCTAATATAAAGCAAGCTTTGATAAGAATCTTGCTGTTTGCTTTTATTTTTTTTTTTTGGTAATATAGATTGACATGAATCTATAAACAACAGGAAAAAACAGTATAGATAGGCTTCATGTCATCTCGACCATTTAGGCATTGGTAACAGCTTTCAGACTGACAACCTCACAAAGATTTATCTAGCTTTATTTGTACTGGTTCATTGTTTGTTCTGCAATGTTCTTACACGTATGCATTTGTACAACTGCCAACACAGTCAAGATACATGCTTCTTTGGTAGCCACTTACTTTTGACTATTTCAAGTTTTGTAGAGGTGTGTGTGTGTGTGTGTGTGTGTGTGTGTGTGTGTGTGTGTGTGTGTTATCATCTTGAGACCCATGTCACATTGACCTGTTTTCTCCTGCCATTCTTCTTCAGTGGGGCAGAGTGTTCTCCTAATTTAGATCTTGATGAGAATTAGGAGAAAATATCTGCTTCTTCTAGCTGAAAGATATCTCATGCTATAACTTTGTACTCAGATTTCCTTTTTAGACTGAATATTGGGAACCAATAAGCATTTGTGGAATCAAAGGGTGAAGTGGTAAAAAAAAATTCATAGTTTCTCACTGAGCCTCTAAAGCAAGGTAGGTGCTAACCTAGTGGAAACAGAAAATCCCCCCAAACCTTGTCAAACTTGCATTCTTAGTGAAGTGAGTGAAGGAAATGAATGAAAGCAGTTTATTGTGTAATCCTTAAAGAGGTTTGGCATATCACTTACAAAGTCATTTCCAAATATAAGGACCTTCTTGGTTATTTGGGATACAGAGCCACAGGAAACAATGTGTACCTTCCCATTTTCTGTGACAGTGTAGGAAGTGGAGATGAGGTCATTAGAAGGGAGAGCCTCTCAATTAGTTTCATGTCATGTTTCCCCTATCATTTAGTTTGATTTTTATTGGTTTGTATCCTAACTGCTGGTCATCATTCTCATACTGAAAAAAAAAAAACCTGATAGTTCATATCCATGTATTTCCATCAAAGGAGACAATATTTGTCTTTCCCTCTGTATAAGAATATTGTTCTACTTTAAAAAATATCTAAAAGCAAAAAAAAAATCAAAAAGCTTTTGCTAAGACATTTTATGATATTTCATTTTTGTTACATTTGCTCCTATTTAAAAGAGACTTTCGTTAAACGAATATTAAGACCTTTCTAAGTTTAGCTTTAATATACTGTGCAATCACATTACATTCCAGTAACCAAGCTCAGGTATTTAATTGGTGGCAGGTGAATTTGATATCTGTAGCTAAAAGGAATGAGGACTGTGAGACACTGATCTGCTTGTGCATTTACTCAGATAGGTTAACCTGTCGTAGCAATTTCACAGGCAGACAAGCAGCTGGTATTTTTCATTTGGTATAAAATGCTAAGTCACAAAAGTGCTTTAATAGCAACTTAACAGTCCCATAATTTTAAGTATGTCTTTTAGATTTTTGCTGGTGATTTCCTATACCTGTGTAAACATTTTATGTAAACCTCAGCATTTTAACTCATCTGATGATTTTTCGTGGAGTCCATCTTCATTTCCTGGGTATTGTTAGATTTTAGACATCTCCTCCAGATAGTCTTGCAAGCCTTTGTATACACTGAGTTGTTTTAGTCCATTCCTGTGGGGTAAGGCAGCCTCTCAAGCTACGACATCATCTTGTTGGCCCCTTTGATCTGAGATCCTTTCTGAGAGAGCCACTCATTAGGTAAGTGCCCT